TTGTGTTTTATTTGTATCTATAATGTAAGATAGAATACTGGAACTACACACTTCAACATTTTAGGTTTTAAAACTTTCTGAGAGCCTTCATTGGATTATTATTATTATCAGGTGCTTGAAAAATTATATAATCAAATTATTGTAAATATATTTTAATAAGATTTCCAAGCAAGGCATTAATTAATTTATTTCTATCTTAATACTGTTTTTAGGGTGTCTTAGATTACAACACAGTAAACGAACTTCGATATTTAGACCAAATTTTTTCGGAATCTCTACGAGTGTACCCGCCAGTTATCACGTGAGTTTGTTCTTTATTCAATTCAAAATGGCGCCTTTTACTAAAAGCAGCATTTTGTCACATAAATCATACAAATCACTCACTGCCAAATAGTTGAAACTGTATTTATAAACAACTTAAATTACATTATACGGAAATTAATGCACTCCTGAAATGGAAAAAAACTGCAGTCTACAGCAGAGTATACAGCCAATGAAAGAAAACATTAGACCTTACGTCACAGATTTTCTTTTCACTTTTACCGTTGGTGAGAAAGAAAAGACATATGTAACACACACACACATATATATACAATATATAATTTTTGTTTTATAATTTCTCTAAGCTGAGGTAAAAATTACAGACAAAATATTTCACCAGTTTGTATAAACTTCACAACTGAAATAAAGATGTCAGAATTATTTATCGATACCTTTACCAGTAAAGACATGTCAGTTAAGAGGATTTCCTCGATTCAGTTAGGAACAGATGCTATTCTATAGGATTCTGGTAATGATCTTCCACTACCTCCTCATGATGCTATACGAGTAATCAGACAAAGAATACACATCTTATTTCAGGTTCGTTAACAGAGTTGCTGACGAGGATTACCAGCTAGGTGATTTTAAAATCCCCAAGGACACTGCTATACAGGTCCCTGTTTGGCAAATCCATCACGATCCAGAGATATGGTCTGAGCCATACGAGTTTAAGCCAGAGAGGTAAACACTAGATTGGTAATTGATCTTAAAAACTTTTGGTCATTTTTACATTAACCGAGAACAAACTTATTAAACAGCAACAAAGGAAATGGGAAGATTAATTAAAAATTCTAGAGAGTATTTACATAAATATGTAATTCCAACCCACAACATCCAATTGTGTGAAAAAGCCAACCTATTCGCTTAAAATCTTTACGAAACTTTTCAAATCTGTCTACGTTTCATAAACAGCACGAGGAGAAGTCGTAAATATTCGCATTATAAACAATGCTGACTTTTTTAAAACCTATATTTACAGTGTATTACAAATCCACCAACATCAAATGATATCAAGAACAGTTCGTAAGATCCTTCAGTTTATTTTAGTTGTATAGAGTTACAACTCTGTTTAACAGTACAGAAACTAGCAACCACACTTTCAATCAGAACTAAAATCCACAAGAATAGAGTTAATAATATCAATGTGTGTAATCTCAACTGATATATTTACGTAAGTAAATAAAGAACTCTTATTTATTTGAATATTTCAGTCCACTAGAGGCCTCCACTAGACAGGAACTACTTTCACGTGAATGCCATGTACTGGACCAATGGTTACGAGCTTGACGTTATATTGGATTTCTCCCTAAAAGACAAGAAAAACTTCAATAACTAAGAAATAAATAAAAACCTGTACAATATAGTTTAAACCTGAATTGAAATATAGCTTTTTTAAACTTACTTTAGTATTTACCTTGTGATTTATCTAAATTTACTCTTTACATTATTGGTAAGAAAATTATAATATCAATATATAATCTGTTTGTGAATAATTGTTTTTGTTTCAGAAAATTGTAAAACGTGCAACGTACAATTTCCGTCTTCTCAGAAGGAACTAGTTTGTAAGCGCGTAAGATTTTAGCCAAAGCTAGTTTGGCTTCCAACTGCGCCATTCTCATACCAACACAGTTTCTTGGTCCAGATCCAAACGGTTGGTAGGCCATGGGGTGGATATCCTTTTTATTTTCGGGGAGAAACCTGGGAACCATAACATAACACTTTTGTTTGAAAATATTTTTGCCACAGTTCACACTCTAGTTAAACATAGATAATTCTGAAGAAAATTTTCATGAGAGGCTTAATGTGTGTGTGTGTGGAAATAAACGATGCTTTTAAATGATATGCCTGCTGAGTAAATAACATCTGTTTATTTAAATATTTATTTATTAAATAACATCTGTTGTCAATAGTGGTGAAATCAGAGGCATGAGTGCGTGTAACGATAGATACTTTCTCAATGTTAAGTTTAAATGTACCCCAGTATGTTTGAGCGATGTTGTCAGTTGAGATCCTTCCCGAAGTGTGGTTTTGTGAAATATGTTAAATAAAATAAGAATGTGGTCGGTTCCTATGTTTTGCTGTACTTTGAAGTCGGATATTTGAGATATAAAGCAGGGAGCATTTATAGCTAAGTCTAATATATCTTGTACGCAGTTAGTATGAGTTGTTGGGGTGTTATCATTAATGATAATATCATTATTCTGTACAAATATCTGCAGAATGTTACCGTTTCTGTTCGTTGCTGTACAGTTAACAGTGACGTACACAGGGCGATGGCTGAATGGGCTCAAGAAAATGGCATCTGCTACGCACGACGAAGGCGTTAGTGGAGTCTTTGTGTTGACTGTATTGATGGACCTCGTTGTTTCCGTCTTCCTTGTGATGTGCTGTTCATTGGTGTGATTATTGTGTCCAGTCCGTGAGTTTTTCTTGGAAAACTGTTGGACTTTGGATGTTTCCGTCAAGGAGTGGTGTGAAGTTGACTTGTAACTGTATTGGTCCGATCTCGGTTCACCAATATGAAGAAACTTTGAACTTCCACGATAGGACATTGTTTGTGATTCGTTGAAGTTACTGCAGCATGATTCCTCAAGTGGATTTTTGGCAGTTCCTATTATTTTAAACAGATTGTTACCACATGCTTGTTTGGTTCTGTGGAAAACAGACAGTAAACTTTAACAGATGCAGAGAAGCGTAGATTCATTCCTATTAATTTTATTACTCCGAAATAGAAATAAATATACAGTCAAAAATGGTGTAGAATTTGTAGAAAA